CTCCACGCCCTTCACTCAAGCTCCCAGCCCGCCGCCACTGGTGTTGGAGAGGCCCGACACGCGGGTGACGGCGGTCAGCCCTCACAGCCTGATGGAGGAGAGGGAGCTGCTCAAGAGAGAAAAGTAAGCAGAGACTCCATTTATGGCCTATGCTTTGACTCAGTTGAGGGAAATCTTGATTTATTTATTTTTTTCCTCGATACCCTTCAATTATGACCCATTTTTCAAATACAATACTGCCAAGTTACTCACAATAGAGCAGTGGAATACAATGTATTTTATTATATTTTCAATTTAAGATAAAAACCTGCGTGTCTGAGGTGAGTGGAGGTGTACCTAATTGATACAACCGGCGGGTGTCATTCTTTCCTCCCGTCTCCAGGTGTAAACGAGCCCAGCTGCAGACGTGCTCGCCCGCGCCAGCCTCAGAGGAGCCGTGCACGCCGAGCAAGTCTGAGGCCCCAAGGCTCGGATCCAAGGTGACGCCAGACCAGCAGACGGCCTGCCCCGAAACATCTAAAGTCACCTTGGCCTCAGACCTTGACGTGCTGGCGGAACTGTACTGCGCCTGCATTTCTGGTGGGTGAACCTTAACCCGGGTGCTAGCAAAAGCAAAGAGAGAGTGCGAGAACAACATCTTTTTGGACTGTTTTTATTTTCAGAAAACCTGGTGCCAAACGTTTTTCTGGAGCTGTTCTTTGTGATGCAGCTGCTCACGTCTCGATGTCCTCACACTCCTGACAACAAGGATGACGATGAGGAAGAGGAGGAGCGTGTGCGGACGCTCAATTCAGGTCGCTGGGTCGCAAGTGACGACTGTGTTTCATTGATTGACACAAATTCAACTCTTTGTTCCCTCGGGCGTGTTTTTATAGGCGTGCTGGAGAGGCGCTACCTGAGGAAAGTGCACAACTGTGTGTACTTTGCAGTGAAGGTGTTGGAGAATCAGTATCAGTGAGTTTTTATCTCTGTGCATCATAGCCAAAAGCCATATTTCTAGACAGTGCTTTTTCTCTTGACAATAGTTTTGGTTTTGTAGCTTGTTGGCTCACCTGGACAAATGCACGTTGCGTCTCCTGGCCGAGAACGAGAGAGTGGCGTCGTTCTCGCCGCGCCTCAGGGATCGCTTGAGTCAGGCCCAGGACACGAGTACAGCCAAGGTAGCACAATGAGATCGGTTCAGCACGTACCGATACTGCTGTTCAAATTGCAAGAGATGAATTTTGTACGCTTGATGTCTTGTAGCTCTCTCCCTCCGTTTCCACGTTCATCCACTCGGTGCCCTTCCAGCCTGCCACAGACAATCGCTCCAATTTCAGCAGTGACAAGGCCTTCCACACCTTTAAAAAGCAAAGGTAGCCAGTG